ATAAAGATTTTAAAAGAATATTCCTATTATGAAAGTTTTCTAAAAGCATCCTAAAAGTAACCCATCAAAATGGAGCCACACTCTGTGTAACATTTGTGAATTGTCGTTCCTAAACTAATTTTCATACTTTTAGATTAGCTGTTTTAAGGGTATTTTTAAAAAATTTTACTGTAACAGAGTTTTTAGAGTATATTTTGGAATATTTTTAGAAAATATTATGGGATATTTAAGAGTATAAGAGTTTCTAGAATATATTTTGGAATATTTTTAAAATTTTAGAAAAATTTAAACTAATTTTTAGATTACCTTTCAAAATACTTTTTAAAAATTTTTATTGTATTTGAAAAACTAGTTTTTGAAAAACACTCCCACCCAAAACTAGTTTTTAATATAATTTTTGTTTAACAAACATCCTTATTCTTAATTTCAATTGGAAGTTCGGCTAATTACTTAGAATATAGGTTGAAAAAAAAAAAGTCAGACATTTATGAGTCTGACAGAGGGCGTGTATAAATCTATAGGTGCAGGGCAGACACAACCCGGCACCTGACACCCAAATTTTTTTTTTAAAAAGACCCATGGGTGCCGGGCAGACACAGCCCGGCACCTGACACAAAATATTTCTCCCCAAAGTTGCACAACTGAAATAGCCTCCCAAAAAAATAAGCTTTTGACCATAAGGGATTACTTGAATAATATCACTTCTTTGGCGCTTTATTCTTCTAAATATCCCTATATGCACTTAACTATTACGCAGCCATGGAGTTTCGTAAAGAAATTTCTCAAGGTCTATTAAATAACAACAAATAATAACAAATAACATCAAATAATGTATTATAATTAAATAATTAAATCATGTATAATAAATTAATGAATATTTAATAAATAACAAATTAAACCTAATTCAGCACCTTAATTAAATGCATTTAATCTAACCTCTTAAAATTAATTCATTCAATTAATTAAACGAATTAATCCACTAAACTAATTAAACTATTCATATACTAAATAACATAAACTAATTATCAACTAACTTAACAAATAAAGTGAATTACATTAAACTAATATCACTAGTGTCGAAATTAAGCTATGCTAATTACATTAATTTTATGTATTTATTTTATTAGCATGGGTATTATTTCAAATACTTAAATTGCCTTGACTAAATGGCTATCTTAATCAAAACTCAATACAAAAATTCATTCAATTAATTAACCTCGCCAGATACATCTAAATTCATTTAATCGAACCTCTTAAAATTAATTAATTCCACAATAAATTAAACTAATTAATCCACTAAACTAATTAAACTAATCATATACTAAATAACATGAACTAATTATCAACTAATTTGCATAATAAAGTGAATTGCATTAAACTAATAACACTAATATCGTTAATTATGTTATGCTAAATACATCAATTTTATGTATTGAATTTATTAAATATGCCAATTCTTTCAATTACTTAAATAACCCGAACTAATTAACAAGTTTTCATAATCATAATTCAATACTACATAAATTACATCTACATTCATTTAATTAGTCTCTTTAAATTAATCCATTAAACAAATTTAAACAACTAATTAAACTACTTAAAGTAATTCTATCACTAAACTAATTCAATTAAGCATGTATCGTGTTATTAAACTAATATTAGCTAACTTACCTAAAAAGTAAATTACATATTTGTATACAACTATTTTACAATAAATTAAATATTTATTTAATAAAAAATATTAATAACATAATATAACAACAACATAAAATATTTATCACCAATTAACTAACATAATATAAAAATTATTCAAATAAAACGCCAAAGAAGTGATATTATTCAAGTAATCCCTTATGGTCAAAAGCTCATTTTTTTGGGAGGCCATTTCAGTTGTTCAATTTTGGGGAAAAATATTTTGTGTCAGGTGCCGGGTAGACACAGCCCGGCACCTGCCATCTTTTTAGAGAAAAAAAAAAAAAAGGTTTGTGTCAGGTGCCGGGCTGCCCGGCACCCATAGATTTATACACACTCCTTTCAGACCCATAAATGTCTGACTTTTCTTTTTTCAACCTATATTCTAAGTAATTAGTTTGGAAGTTCAAACTTTAAGTAGTTTAGTATCATTGCGTAAATGTAGGCCTTGTTTGAATTGTATTTTTCTGAATTTTTTGTAAAAAAATTATTATAACGATTTGACATATATTAGATAAAAAGATGATAAGAAAATATGTTCACGAAAAAAGTAATAATTTTTCTTTGAAAAATTACTGTCCAAACAGCCTTGGCTTCCTTTAACTTTTCCGACAATCCCTGCCTTGTCAGCTTCCTGCTTCCTTCTTCCCTTGTCCTTAGGGGTGGCAATTCCTGACACGATCCGAAAACACGACACGATCCTAACACGAAATTAATGGGTTTGGGTTGAGGTTTCGGGAGTTCGGGTTAGAATCGGGTCGAACCCGATGAACCCGAAAAGAAAACAGGTCAATTTCGGGTCAACCCGTGGTGACCTGATATGACCCGATGTGACCCATTTACGAATTAAAACTAATTTAATAAACATTAAAATTATTTTATCTAACTAAACTAAATCATTCTTTTTTTCCAAAGGTATTAATTACTTAATCCTAAATGAATTTATTTAACTTGTGTGAAGTTAAAATTATTATATTTGGACAAATAATATATTATGTTATTTTTTACTTTTATGCTGTTTTAATTTATTTTATATTTGGTTTAGGATAAAACACTTTTATGGTGTTTAATTTATTTTAGATTTGGTTTGAAATTATTTATTTAAATTTTTATTACTTGATGATGTAATTAATTTTGTGAAAAATTAACTTGTCCTCATACTCCACCTTGCAACAACCCCGTTCCATGCTACTTTTCCATATCCCCGCAACCCCTGAATGCAAATCGTCCCTTCTGTAGATGCTGCATCTTTGGAGCCAAATTTTGTGCATTATTTTCATATTATCCTTTCTAAACTGATTTTCGTAGTTTTAATTTGTCTTTAGTTTAAATAAAAACTTTAAGTAGTTGGAAAATATCCTTCTCCATTTCTTTAGTCATAACGATGATATAATTTTGATTCTAATTGCTCAACAAAAGAATAGGTAAAAATATTATATTTCTTTTTTATGCTCTAACAAAATCTAACAATTCTAATAGCATGAATAACATCCGATTATATATAATTCAGGTCCAATTTTAGATCTAGGTCTGGGCTGAAATTTAGAGCTATTTTTTATTTTCTGTGCATGGTGATTCCAAAAATTGAAGTATCTGATAAGTATATTTCATTTTTTTATTCTGGGTATGATTTGTAAATTTTACTTAGGAAAGCAATACAAAAAATATTGAAATTTTTGTTGTTCTCTTTTTGTATTTTTTTCAGTCAATTTTGCTAATGCGGTAAATTGTTTAACTATATGATTTGGAATCTTGTTATATCTTTGGAGGATAGGAACTTAGATTAGTTCCCTTTTTTCGGGTATGATTTGTAAATTTTAGTTAGGAAAAGAATACAAAATTGTTGAATATTTCGTAATTTTGTGTTGTGTTTGTTAGTCAGTTTTGCTAATTTGCTAAGCTGTTCAGCTTGTGTGATTTGGAATATTGTTATTTCTTTGGAGGACAAGAACTTAAATTATTAGTTTATGTTAGTCAAAGATTGTATTTTAGTCAATTTTTTATATTGATTATTATGGATACAATTATTTTTAGTTTCAACTATGTATAAATATTTTTGGTATATTTATTTAATTGCATTATTATAGGGTTGAACATTGTAGGGCATGTTTGAAACTAAGGATCTGTTTGGACAGCGATTTTCTTCAGAAAAATTGCTACGTTTTCTGTGACCATAGTTCCCTATCACTTTTTTATTTCACATATATTAAATTACTACAGTAATTTTTCTACAAAAAATTCAGAAAAATGCAATCCAAACAAGGCCTAAGTAAAATAGGGAACAAAATAAAACTAAGGTATGCTACAATACCTAATCCCAACCTTATGTTTGGTATGATTAATTAATTGCATTTATTAAGAGAGTGACTATTATATGCCATGTCTGGGGCTACGTTAAAATTAAGGAATTAAAAGCAACAAAGCAATGCATGACATTATGGTGAATCCAAACCGAAGACATGAATCAATTTTTGAAAAAAAAAATTAAAAATCTAGAAAAATAGGATGAGTAGTTGAAGGCTCAATATGTTTTGAGCCTATTGAGCCTTCAATGACGTAGGATTGAAGGGTGGAATTTAAGAAACAAAAAGGGTTAATTGTTGAACTCTCAACCTTAATGTTTTGAGCCTTCAATGTTGTATCACAACGCGGTTGCATTTGCACCTGGACTGCCACTCAAAACTATTTTGCTGATCAGGTCTGGGGATTGGCTTTCAATGTTGTGGCTATGGACAGCAAGGAATTTGTCTATGTTTCAGCAGAGACATATCTCGGCTGTGGACATAGTTTCTGCTGTCTTGGCTTCTGTAAAGGAAGTGACGACAGGTTAGAGGAAGATCCCTTTAACTAGAGCCAACTGGGAATTGGCTTTGGAGTTTGGCTTGCCTCTGCGTCTTAGCTCGTGATGGTTAATTCGTATGCTTAAACAGTGATTAGTTGCATGCAACTGGATTCTATACATTCCTGTGCACAAGCTTCACTTCTGTGATCAGTAAGAACATATTTTGCTATGAGATTATTTATATATGTGAGTCACATTCACATTGAGGTCGAGGAAAAAAAAAATTTCTTGCTTAAGACCGCGCGTCACAGCACCATCACAGCTGTTGAATGAAGGATTGAGTGGGAAAATCTTGACAACTTAAACATAATTAAATAATACCATTCACGTTTTTGAGCGCAGAAATGAGAAGTCATGCCATTCACGTTTTCGTGTACGGATGTTTGGATATTCTAGATGCTGAACATCCACTTGAGATAAACTCAACTATAAAATGGTCAGTCATTTGTGCAAGTGAACTCACCAAAGCAAAGCTCCAAAAATCACTGAAAAGAAAGAAAAAAAAATGGCTGCCTCTTTGCAACCACTGTTCTCAGCAATAACATTCCTGTTGTTGATTGCTTCTCTGATTGGGTCCTCCGAAGCTGCCGGAATTGTCCAATACTGGGGCCGAGGCCATTCAGAACCATCAAGTTTGGCTGAGTTCTGCAGGCGAGAATTCGCTACCGACGTGAATATTGCCTTTCTGAAAGATTTTGGTAGCGGCCACATGCCTGAATTGAACGTAATTCATCCTTGGCCGAGCGCAGCAGACATAGAATCTTGCCAGAATAATCAGACCAAAGTGTTTATTTCTCTCGCAGGACCATCGAATCTTTCTTCCGTCGAAGATGCGCAAGAAGTGGCAGCCTATGTCTGGAACACTTACTTAGGCGGTGAATCAAGCGACCGTCCATTCGGCACAGCTGTTTTAGATGGCGTAGAGCTTCACATCCACAGCGGAAACCCGAATTACTTGGATGTTCTTGCTCTGGCACTTAAGGGATACCCAAATGTAACCTTAGCTGTAGCGGGGGAATGTCCTATTCCTAACCTTTTTCTTGACCCAACTATCAGAACTGGAGTCGTTGATCAGGTGCGGGTGGAATTTTTCGACAACCCATCTTGTGAGTTTCTGCCTCCAAACGATACCAGTCTCCTCTTCCGGAGCTGGGACAGTTGGTCTGATTATCCAGGCGTTCATAAATTGTACCTGGGAATACCAATAAGCTCTTCTATCGCATCTGAGGGCGGTTACATCCCACCTAATGAGCTAGTTTATGATGTTCTTCCCTATCTGCAGAACTCTCCTGTTTATGGAGGCATCACGGTTTACCCCTACTTTGGTCACGGGGTAACTTTCAAGTCCCTGCTACGGTCCTATGCTCGTGCTGTCTGATCAGTTCCTCTCGGTCGCTATCTACTGAAGGAGGCGAAAATGATAAATAAATAAACAATGGGTTGGTTATCCATGCCCAAGTAAAATAAGATTGTCGCATGAAGCTCAATCGTGCGCGGTTGACCTTGAATTTCTGTCTGTTCTTCAGCAAAACCTATGTTATATAGTGCGAAGATTACGGTTTTGTTTATAAGCATTTTTCTTTCAGTTGTTCTGTGTATCATTAGATACATATTCGTTCTCCCATACAAACATATTCACGCAAGAACCTCCATTGTTCGGAACGATGGCTCACGGTGGCTTGAAACAGGCACGATGACTTGGAAGTCTTCGTGGAAATCATTACAACAATATAACTACAGAATATAATGGACGTAAATATTAAATGTTAAAGACCAAATATGTAGATAGATACTGCAACAATAACCACAGAATACATAATAAATTTTATCACTCGATGAAAACATGTTAATAACACTGCTGTGATTACAGAAAATCTGAGAGGATTAAGTTACATACTTCATGGAGTAAGTATTAATTAATATCATTATTCGGCAAATTGTTGGAATAAACAGTCTAAGAATCTGTCAGGGTTGTTGATTAATAAGCTTATTTAATGCAGCCAAGTGACAGGAATACTACTACCAAGTCAATAATAACACTAGCTAATAATGATGGAGCAGTAGTATTAAGGAGATGCGTATTACAGTTGCTTGCAGTCTTTCATACTACAGTCCTCCCAATCCAGTGACAGGAAAGGGGCGGGACGCTGCATACAGGTAAATTACATTTTACCTCCCTATAGTTTAGTATTTTTTTTTGTACATAATCTTCCTATAATTTTAAAAATTATATATAATTTTCTCATGATTTGAATTAAATTATCAAAGTAACAAAATTTGTAATCCATAATGGAGTCAATTAAAATGTCAAAAATGCCCCTATATAAAGTTGAAAATTATTTATTGACTACAAGCAAATTATGCATATATAGTAAAACATTAAATCATAAGGAGGTTATATCATAAAATATAAAATCATACAAGGTTAGAGTGTCATGCATATTATATTTATATATGTTGATCACTTCAACAATTTGAGTTTTTAAATAAGGGTAATTTCGACATTTTATAGGTTCCTTTACGAATGATTATTTCCGTTATTTTGACACTTTAATCCAAATTATGAGGGGATTATATATAACTTTTAAAACTATAGGCGGGTTATGTACAAAAATACTAAATTATAGGAAATACAGTGTAATTTGCCTTTTTTTTTTTTTGCTTTTCTTTTACATTAATTTCCATCTGTTCTCATATTCTTGTTTTCTTCCGCTTTCTTCTTAACTAAACATAAGAAATTCGTTAATTGCATATTGGATTACTATTTTACTACACCGGTATCAACTCCAGCGCGGGATGCCGGACTCGTCCCCAAATGCAAAATAAGTATCAGGAGTAGGAGTAGCTTGCCCTTTGTGTCATTAAAGTTCACAAACATAATCGACACCTCATCGAAAACAAAGTCCAAACAGGCTGCCTTATTTATGAAACTTTTATGCATCTTCAATTAACTTTATACCTAGCCAAATTCAACATAAATAATCCAAATTCAACAATAAATTACTATAATTTGAATAACAGCTTGAATTTATGAATAAAAATCAATCCAAAAAGAAAAAAAATTTTCACAATTACCATTATTGAATAACATGACCTTAGATATTAATGGATAACAAGAATTTCACTATCCCTCTAACAAGGATTTTCAAAGCATTCCTAGAACTAATGGCCTGTTTGGCAAATGAATTTTTGGCTAAGTTTGTTTCCTACCAATTTTTTAACAACTTTAACTACAATAATTTTAAAAAACTCCACAAAATTTTTAAACTACATACTTCAAAATATCCAAAACACACAAAAAAAATTTCTTCCTCCTCTCTCCTTCCACCTCAACCCACCACCACCTCGGCCAACGCCGAAGGCCACGCCTTTTTTTTTTCTCTCTCTCTCTCTCTTCTTCCTCTCCCTCTCCTCCCCTCTTCCCCGCCACCTCTCTCCCCCCTTCTCCCTCCCCCACCACCCTTCCCTTACCCCTTTGCCCGATCGGAAAAGGGGGGAGAGGGGAGGGGAGGGAGAAGAGGGGGAAAGAGAAAAGAGCAAAAAAAATTCTTGTTCCAACTAGAAGGAGGAGGTGACAAGGGAGGGGGAAGGGAGATGAAGAAGAAAGGAAAGAAAAGAAGAAAGAAAGAAAAAGAAAAAAAAGAAAAGAAAAAAGTTTTTAATTTAAAAATTTTTCCTATAATTTTTACAGTAAGTTACAGTAAAATTTTAGACAAACACCCAAAAAACTCATTCGCCAAATGAGGCCTAAGTTTCACCCAGATATTTATTGGGAGTTATTTGCCAAATAGGGCCTAAGTAATATCTCATTCTCTTATCAACTTTTATCAGACTTTATTGGAATTGCCCAGTTTTTTAGAATTTCTCTCTTTTTTCACGAATCTTTAATTCGTGATCGGGATCCATTCATATAACATTCCTCATTGGGAGGATGTTCATGAAACCCCTTCTGCTCTTACATTTCCACTACCGTGTTATTAGAGATGCTTGATGAGGATGCTCACCTCGGCCATCCCGAGTGGCCGAGGTGGACTCACCTCGTCCCTCATCGGAGTTCATCCGTGTCCCGGACATCATCCCTGAGCTCGGGCTCGGCCGTTCCCATAGCATACTGTGTAGCCGACCTCGGCACCCCCGCCTCAGCTGCACGCTGATGATGTCAACCCACCTGACATCATCCAGGACCAGCACTTTATCTGAAAAGCACTGGAGGCACTTAATGGCACCTGCACCATATCCTCCGTCATCACTCCCAGGCGGCTACAGTGTCAGAGTCAGACCTCCTGACAGGAGACAGAGCCGTAATGCCAGAGAGTGGGTCCCGCTAGCATGAGCCTTCCGTCTTGACCACCTCTCTTCTATAAATACCCCAGACACACTCCCAACAAGTGGGCACACTGTTCATTAACTCATTCTCATTATTCTCGTTCTCATACTAACTTGATCGTCGGAGTGATACCAGGGGAGAAGCCCCGCCACTCACTTCGGACACCGAGGTTCACTTCGGACACAGGAGTTCACCTCACTTCATCTCAGAGAGGACTGATCCAGGTCGGTCTAGGTACCAACCAAAAATCACCTCCTCAATTGGCGCCGTCTGTGGGAACGAGACTACTGTTACTAAAATGAGATCCACGCGCTCCAGAAGTGGTCGAGTTCCCTCAACTGGGGTTGGGCAGACCTCGGGAGCCCAGCAAGATCGCATCTCTGAAGAGCAAGGGTCCCCGAGGACCCAGCCTGACAACGAGGAGGCCATCGCCAAGATGGCCGAGTTCGTATCACACAACCCTACCATTTTTGAGGAGCTAGGAAGGTATCTCAAAAGACAGGGGAAAGAAAAGGCCGAATCTTCCAAGAGGAGGCCGACGAAGTCCCCTGAGGCACCTTCAGATGAAGACTCCGATGAGGGGCGTCTCTCTCGGAGTACCTCCAGGCGTGCCTCCTCCAAGGCGACCTCTAAAATTGCCTCCATCTCCCGAGCGTTTTCTCGAGGACTCCTAGGGAAACGGGCCGAGGACCCACCTCGGCGCCCCGGGGGCCTAGCTTCGGACTACATGAGGGCCCCGCCCTTTACGGATGACATCAATGGGGAAAGGGTGCCCCCGAACTTCAAGCTTCCAAACTTGCACACCTATGACGGCCGAGGTGACCCCGAGGATCACCTCCGCGCCTTCATCTCCGCATTCCGACTCTACTGCGTCCCCGACGCCGTGATTTGTCGGGCTTTCCCCATTTTCCTACATGGGACTGCCCGGAAGTGGTTCTGGAGTTTGGAACCAGGGAGCATTTCCTCCCTGGATGAACTGATAGACCGGTTCATCCACCGCTTCGTGTCGTCTCGACCAATCACGAAGACTTCAGCTTATCTCTTGAACCTTCAACAGGGTCAGGGCGAGTCTCTTCGCTCGTATGCTCAGAGGTTCAACGAGGAGAATGTGCAAATACCTGATCAGAACGAGCAGGTAACTCTCGCGGCCTTTACCAACGGGTTGGTGGCCGGACTCTTCAACACCGAAATCCATCGGGATTACCCTCGTACACTTCACGAACTCTGGGAAAGAGTGGACCAGGGAATCCGAAGTGAAGATGTGAATCGCATGAAGCGAGAAACCCAAGCCTCTCGTACGGGACAAGATGCCCGGAGAAGGAAAGACATCGGCCGAGGTGAACCCGGCCCAAGTGGCACTTCAAACCCACCACGGGACCGCCGGAGTGTCTTTGACCGGATCGTGAAAGGAAGATCTTCCACCTCGGACGCTGAGCTAACACCGCTCAATTCCAGCCGATCTCATGTCTTGGCTGTGATGAGGCAGAACCACCTCGGCCGAACACCTCCTGAGATCCCTGGAAGAAGAGATAGGAGGAACTCCAGCCTCTACTGTGCCTACCATCGAGATGTTGGGCACGAGACCGAAGACTGCAACGATCTGAAACGAGAGATCGAAAATCTAATTCGGCAAGGACACTTGAAACAATTTGTCCGCAAAGATGGAAGCTTCGGACGAAGTGCCTCCCACCGGGAGAGCCGAGGTCCTCGCCGAGAAGACAGGCGGGACACCAAGTTCAACTGCCGAGGTCCTGAGGACCAGAAAGGGGACCAAAGGCCTCCACGCGACGGGTCACCAGGCTATGGTCCAAACATTGCCGGGGTGATCAACACCATCTCAGGTGGTCCCACGGGAGGAGACAGCCAGAGCTCCCGAAAGCGGACCTACCGCCAAGCCGGCATGGATGTGGCCGAGCCGAGCTCGAGGCTGTCCGAGGTCATAATTTATGGTCCCCGCGACCCTGTCCCCGCTGCCTCCAGCAATCACGAGACCCTCGTGATTGAGATCCTCACAAACAATTATATAGTCAAGAAGGTCTACGTTGACCCCGGAAGCTCGGTAGACGTCCTGTACTACCGAACTTTCGAGAGCTTGAAGCTAACCCGGGAACAACTCACTCCGGTCAGAACTCCCCTTGTCGGCTTCGGGGGACACGTCGTCCACCCGGAAGGCATGGTGAATTTAATGGTGAC